TATACATTAGCCAATCCAACGGCGAGTCTTGGGAAATGGGCGGGCACTTGTCAAACTACGGTCGCGGAGGTTGTCGTGAACTTTACCGGTGTTGAATTACCCCCCTGGACCCAAACCCGTCAGCGTGAGTAGCCAACGCTAAACCTTATTTTGCAGGAGTACTTTTTTTATTTTTTACAAGAGGATAGGTGATAGTTTAAATTTTCCACACATCGTATTTGTAATCATCGTGGTTTCCATATAAAAACGGACAGATCTCGTGGTCGACTCCACATGGCTACCTAGCCACCCAGCTAACCAACCAACCAACCAATCAACCAACCCTGCTAGCTTGCGTTAGCCTTCCCAGGTTAAATACTGCTAGCGCATACTTATGCCGGCTGCTGGCTTATCTCCAAATTTGCCCTCTGTAGCAGCACAAGTTGTAGTTTGACATTTCCTGTGGTTACCAGGTTGTATTGTAATTTATTAAAGCTGTCGAAAGTCTGACTAAACTGGGCCTTAGCTACAACCAACCTTGTGTACTGTTACTGACAGGACTGTAGGACACTCACTGTAACGTTAGCTAGCCAACTTAATGGTAGCTGGATGTATGTAGTTAAGTGAGCTAACGTTTCTAGAGCTAACTGAGCCCTGGGACATTGGATAACTCTATTGTGTGTGTGCATATTGAGTAATTATACTCTAAGCAGAATACTAATATGCTTATATCAAACCTTGCAAGTCATGCAAGCCAATGTGAGTTAAATGTAACTTCCAATTCCGACTCGCACCTTTTCTTGGATTATCTATCTAGCCAGTAGCCCGCAGCTGTGAGTGATTGTTACACTGATATAATTAATGAATTAAATAAAAGATTCACCCACTGTCTATCTCTTCCCTAGTCTGTTACAGTCTCAGAGTATGGGCAGTGTGTTGGCTGCCGCCTCCCCCAGTCCTGCCCCAGCTGCAGCTGGAGGTAGCCAAGGGGTCCCAGGGCTGGTGTCGGTCCCTCCAGGGTTCACTATGCCCTCAGTATCTTCCGTCCCTCCAACATCTGGCCAGGAGACAGCAGATTCAGATTCCGCTCTACCAAACCCAGGCACATATGAGGAGTGCCACCGCAAATGTAAAGGTTAGAAAGTTTATTAAGCTGCTTGATCCATATCTCACACAGTTCATGATGTGATTGATTCTTCACATTCAGAGTAATCATGATGGTATTTTAATAACGGTATCATTATTGTCATATTGGCATGGATTTTGAAAATGTTTTTTTTTTTTTTATACCCTCTCTTTCTTTTTAGAGGTGTTCCCTCTGCAGATGGAAGGGGTGCGGTTAGTGGTCAACAAGGGCCTGAGTAACCACTTCCAGGTCTGCCATACTGTTACCCTCAGTACCCTGGCTGAATCTGGTTATCGATTTGGCTCAACCTACGTAGGCAGTAAGCAGACAGGACCAGCAGAGGTAATGAACAATTTACCACCACTTAAACAAACCTAAAGTGATATTTTGAAGTTTAAGTTGTAAATCTTCCTGGTCACTGTTTGAACATTGTCTGATTCATTTTTTAAAGTTGCTTTATAAGTGCAAAAAAAAAAAAGATAAATTCCTGCTAATTGCACGGCCAACTCAAACAAGGTTTGACTTATAAGTGAAGGCTGTGTTTATGTGTTTTATTCAGGATTTATAACTGCCTTTTCCAAGCCTTCTTGTTCATGTTTTGGAAATTAAAATAGCCTATATTGTCTTCTTCTTCTTCTTATTGTCTTGGCTTTGGAAATTTGTGTCAGAAGAGGGAAGGAAGGCGAGTGTGTTTGAAGAAAAGTGCAGAAACCTTCATGCAAGGAACAAGAAAAATGCCAGTGATATTATAATAAGCTGGTTGTAGTTTTTTTTTAATGTTTTTTTTTAACAAAACAACAAAAGATAACAATGACAGTATTGACATGGCATTAAAGTTGGTTTACAGGAAAAAATAAGTAAAGAAAACAAATTAAAAGGACACAAAGGAAAGCGATAATAGATGATTTTTGAATTACCTCTTTTGTCCACAAGGAGCACATAAATAAATGATAAATACAGCTCTACAGAATTTACATTGAGTCAGAAAAGCCATACACCCAGACTTCTATACATTGGTCTTGGCTACAATTTAATGCAGATTGTAAGGTTTCAAATGTCATCCACATGATTTGAAAGCTGATGAAGTGTGATTTGTTCCCCTCAGTCATTTCCAGTCATGGTTGGAGATATGGACAATACTGGCAGTCTGAACGCCCAGGTCATCCACCAGCTCACGACTGCTGTGCGCTCAAAAATAGCCATCCAGGTATGTAGACTTGTAGAGGGAACGGCCTTTCAATTGTTGTCTCTTTTTTTTGCTTTTAATGGTCACTGACATTGTCATTCCAGTCTGAGAATTTGTATTCTAATTTTTTTGTCTGTGTTGCAGACTCAGCAGCACAAGTTTGTGAATTGGCAATGTGACATGGAGTATCGTGGTGAAGACTTCACCTCTGCCGTGACGCTCGGAAATCCAGATGTTCTCGTTGGATCTGGTATGATTATTCTCTCAAAACTGCAGTGGAGGTTTTGAAGTATAAGTTGCTCATTCTTAACAAAGGGCTTTATTGAGAGTGACAACAATAATAGAAAAAAAATGTTCAGTGGCGGCTAAAAATGAGATGTATTGTATTACCCTTCAAAGCAGAGTTTGTCCAGGTTTTGGAGAATTGGCTAGTTAGCAGCTAACGCTAATGTTACAAGTCATTGTTATTTATTTATTTATTTTTTTACCCACCATGATGAAGAAAACAAAATCAGAAGAGAATACTCGATCAGCTCTTTGATACCCTTTGTTATTCTACCTGTGGAAGAAATTCATACTACAAGTATGGATGAGAAGGGACTATTCTGTATGTGTGTATATATAATGGAAGCTCTTTTACTTTCCCTCAGGCATTTTGGTGGCCCACTATCTCCAGTCTATCACACCAGGATTGGCTCTGGGTGGTGAGCTAGTGTACCACAGGAGACCAGGGGAGGAAGGAGCTGTCACCTCCCTCTTGGGCAGGTATACAGGTAAAATCCACTCTTATTGAGCACTTGACGCTTAAATTAAAATTTTAACATCTTGTTTTATTAATGTCATAATTTAATAAAGGCTTAAATTTCTTGAATTCACGCTTCTGTAGTGTGACCAGGATTTAGATTAAATGGTGCCTAATACCATCTCATTGTTTTACGTTATCTGTGCAGTAGATGTTTAATGTTTTTTTTTTTTCCCGTTTACCTTAGGTGACAACTACGTTGCTACATTGACTTTAGGAGGAGCAGGAGCTCATGCTACATACTATCACAAAGCCAATGATCAGGTACCTGACAACTTTAGTAAAAGTTTGGGGATGTATTTCTGTCAATCCGTCATGGTTCGTCACCCAAAGCTGCTCAAATGCATTTTGGTTCAAATTCTGCATAGTAGGTTAAAGAATGGATTACATTTTTATAATTTTTATATAGTATCTTTTTTATATACTACTATACTCACATGCCTGTATCTACATTAAAACATTTATTGTTGCTGTAGTTGTTCCTCCTGTCCATACTTGCTGTCCGGTTAAACTCTTTAAAGTTCAAAATCCCTTCTTTGTGTTACTATCCCTCCACTGCACATCAGCTGTCCAGAGACACAAGAAGAAAGAGGGAATTTTGTACAAAAAAAAGACTACGGACCCCTTACACGGACAGGAGAATAATAATGCAGACAAAAAAATATTTCCATGCGCATATTGGCATGTGAGAAGTGTATTAAGAATAAAAAATGTGAACCTGTCCTTTAACCTCTGTCTTCGAATACAGCTGCAGATAGGAGTTGAATTTGAGGCCAGCACAAGGATGCAAGACACCACAACATCCTTCGGTTATCAGTTGGACCTTCCCAAAGCTAACTTGCTCTTTAAAGGTAAATGGATAAGTATGAATGCAAACATAGCCACATAAATGAAGCAGTGGTGGAAAGTCACTCAGTACATTTACAAGTACTTGTAATTTACTTTAATGTAATGCTATTTAAAATTTTGGTCCACTATGTTTCAGAGGGAAATTTGTGCTTTTTACTTTTACATTTATTTGACTGCTTTGGCTACTTTTCAGATCTAGATAATTAATACAAATTATCATGAACTATATATATTTTATTATTATTATTATTATTGATTAAGCTACCCAGCAGTGTATTAGTGTAGTAATTGGAATTAGCTCTACCTTTATCCACTACACATTACAATGATCCTTACCCATTAATGCATCAGTAATTACAGTACAATTGCATTACATATTATTCTGCAATGGGTGATTCTGCATAATGAGTATTTTTAATTTTGGTACTTGAAGTATATTTTCATGCTAATACCTATATTTTTCTTCCACCACTGAAATTAAATGAGCGTTCATTTGGACATTATAAAATAAATGTAGATTTTCTTAAGAGGAACTCATTCTACTTTTTCTCCTATGCTCTCTGCAGGCACGGTTGATAGTAATTGGGTGGTTGGGGCGACCCTTGAAAAGAAACTGCTGCCGCTGCCTCTCACACTGGCCTTAGGGGCTTTCCTCAACCATCGCAAGAACAAGTTCCAGTGTGGCTTTGGTGTCACCATTGGCTAGAGGTTCGGGGGCTTCCTGGAGTCAGCTCGCAAGCCACAGCTTGGACCGGCACAGAGACACACAGGAACCTGGACTAAGTTTTAGAAATTTGATTCAGAGACTCTCTTTCGACTGTGATTTCTGGGACAGACAGAGAGACAAAGACAACTACCAAGGAGCCAGGACTGGCCAAGCCATGCCTACATTCTGTAGCACAAATGTCTTTCCTTTATGGCGTATTGGATATATACCCAGAGGCTAGAGAGATGTATGTCAGAGGGCATCAGTGATGCATGAGATCATGTGATGTGAAAATCAAAGTGGTTAGAAATAATATATGGTGATCATTATGGAGTGAAATAAATGTGATTACTTTTTGTAAAACTGGATCTTTTTATTGCTTATGGGTGCTGAATTTAGACACAGCTTAATTATTTCTAAAGTATTATATAATCTTATACTTCTAATTGTCTTTCGATGAAAGACGAGACAAGACAATATCTTTATTGCGACTGTCAGATGCAGAATGAACTGATTTCTTTCCACCCAGCAAACAAAATAACACACCTTCCCGGTTTGAAGCTGCTATAATCAATATTTTTTACCAACAATGGGATAAATTACTAAATATAATGTGAACGGGTCACATATTATCATAGAGAATCCAGGCAGCTGTTTCCACCAAAAAAAAGTGATAAAATACATGCTACCTGCCCAGCACCGCACATCAGACAGACGTAGTTAGCAAGCAGCTGGTGAGCATAAAGGAGCATTTTGCAGTTAAGAATTATCTCAGGAGTCAGTGGGGACCAAAACTAGAGCTAAGTACAGTATAGGACAATGGACTTTCATAAGCCAGACACACACAAGACTTTTAATGGCTTTGTTTCTGCTGTCCTCAAGTGGGGAAAATCTGTTAATGCTGCTTCAATCAATTTGGTTTGTACAGTGGTGGAAGACGTATTCACATCCTTTACCTAAGTAAAAGCACCAATATACCAATTTATAAATACTCCCAATATAAGTAAAAGTCCTGCATTCAAAATCCTACCGTACAAAAGTAGGGTACTTTTTAAAGTAAAAGCATTTGTTTTGCAGAAAAATGACATATTATGAATTTCATCATAGTGTAAGCAGCATTTTACTGTTGTAGCTGCTTGAGGAGGAGCTAGTTTTATCTACTTTATATTCATTTGTTTAATCCAGTGATCCTCAACCTAGGGGTTGCGGGTCAATCAATTATACTATATCAATACAATACTATAAGAAATCAAAAGTAAAATTTCAAAATCAAACCATAAAGGATAATCCAAATACTAACAAATCACAATACCAAAAACCATGATCACATTATTACAGGCATTTCATTAATCATTATGCTGTTAAATGTTTTGACACAAAAACTACCCCTGATATACAGTATCTGCCATAGTTATTTACCTGCTGGGCCTTTCTCTTTTTATTATACCAGAAAAACAGCAAAAGACAATTGTTCCACAGGAAAAACAGCTGAATAAATCGGCCAGAGGAAAACTAGCTGGACTGGTCCTTGTGCAGAGTCGAGATGTGGATGGGAGGAGACACACGTCAAGGTATCAAAAGCATTAGTGCTAGCATGAGGGTGAGGACAGGAGAAGACACCAGACCAGGACAGAAGCCAAAAATGCTGCAGGAACAAAACAATAGATGAAATAACATGATTCAATGAGGATTTTTGGCACATGCTTCTTCATAGTGAAATGTAGTTTGTAAAGACATTGATCTGCTTATATTTTCATAACTAATAAAATAAGTGCAAATGAAAATGTGTGAGTATGTACCTGTTATCTGTTGTTTTAGGAGGTGGAAGGGTGGTGGTTAAGATCCTGTAAAATACAGAGCATCATGAGTAAGACATATTAAAATCTTATTTCAATGTAAAAATCTTTCTCATATTTTAAAATGAAAAGTGCTGAAATGTACTTAATTTGATAACAAAATGTCCTACTGTGATGAGCATGGGCCTTTATCCACATCCTTAGGAGATGTAACCTTCACTTGTCCCACTTTAGGACATGGTAGAGCACTTCCATTAACTAGAGGAGTAAGATCTAGAAAAAAAAATAAAGTTTCAGTTGTGTTATACAGAAAAACTTCCACTAATATGTAAAGAGATTTAAACATTTCAAATGTGTTTGTTGTAGAAATCCAAGCAGTTACAATCCATTTTAGCAGAAAAAAACATTTTTATCAGCCTGCCTTCAAATCTGAAGACGAAAACGGCACTCCCTCCCTTGAGGAAGTCTCTGACTTTCAGTTCTTCCGCAGTTGCAAAAAATGTTCTGCCAATCAGAGGTCCAGCATAGATGGTCTCATTATTCTCATCTACATATGGAGTTCCAATCTCACGAGGGTTGTCCCAAAGAAAGGTACCATCTTAGAAAGAATATACAAGAGAACATACTGTTACATATTTTGGGCTAGAGTCGTGACTTTTTTTTTACAGGATTTTTTCATGATCTTCGAAACTTACCACTTCTGACTTGCTGGTCACTAGTGATACTCCTTTGCTTGGACATTTGCAGCTGGATGTTGGGGTTCTGATCCAGCATTTGGAAGGTCACCTGCCTTTGTGGGAGAGGCCACTCCAGCTTGTCATCATATTTACCAGACAAGAGTTGCACAAACAGTCCGAAATGTGTATTGAACAGCACAGTCCCAACAGCGTAAGCATAGCCTCCACTGGAGTACTGCCGTTGGCTGTATAAAGTGGTTCCATATTCACTTGTGTTCCAAACATTCTCGAAATCATTAATCTGCATGGTCACATGAGGACATTCAGTCTCAGACAGATTGATGTCATCGATTGAGAAGCTGCCTGAAGAGTTTCCTGCTCCTTTACGAATCTCAAACTCCACCTGGAAGTGCTTGGTGGCATTCAGGGAAACATGTTTGACCTGCCAGTGAGATGTTGGTGGACCTGCAGGAAGAGTTTTGTGATGACTAAATTGCATTACATGTATATCAATGGGCGATTTGTGTGTGTAGCCTTGAAACAAAAACAGTTTTTTCAGAGTCTCAAGTAGCATTTAGAGCAGATGATAACATATAATCATACAGCTTTACATTACCAGTAATCTGTTCCATAAGGCGCAGGGTTCCTGTGGAGTCCCATTCATCTTCAAACTCTCTGATCCAGATGTTAAGTTCGTCTGACCCGTTCCCACTGTGGTAAAAGTAGAACTGGAGACACTGGATATGACATTCCCTTTTGGCAGTCATTCTCTGGGTCTCCAGCCAGGCTGAGTCTCCCTTCTGACCTGAGGTTGTGCTAGCATGCATGAAGTAACCATCATCTTGACCTAGAATGTTGTTAGCCAAGATTATTGTTATGGCAGACCTTCAAGTGTAATGTATATGCGATATCAGTAGATTTACATTGATTACTAGTTTTTTGGTAAAAAAACCCAACAAAAAGTCTGAATGTGAAGACACATCTGTTGTGTCATTCATTTTTGTTTCTTCCCATTATTTTTTAGGCCCTTTATATTTTTCTAAATATCCAACAGTTGAAAGATGACAAGATATGTGGGGAAAGAGAGAATGACATGCAAGAGATTGGATGAGAACAGGGAATATTGTAGCAGCGCCTTAACCACCAGACATGGCACCCCAATCATTTTTTTTTTTAACAATAAACAACTGTGTAATTCTGAAATATTACCATGATGATCACCATTGCCACTGGGTAGATTGGTGTGGTCAAAGTTAGGACCCCCGTAAGCTTTCGTTACCATTTCCCAGCTAATGACACTCTGTGAACATCGATTCATTTGACACATAGTCCCATTAGAAAAACTGCAGTGCATCTGAAATGCAATGGTTGAGCCTGTAGGTGGAAGAAGAATAGAGGATTGACAAATAAGCATTGCAAAAACTCAACAAACCATATGACCAGCTGATGTTTGCATCTGGTCTCCTACCAGCAGTCAACATTGGCTTCTGTTAACCATGACCATGATCTTTTCCCTTAATTTATCTTCAAACTTTAGCCACAGAGGTGACATTGGATCATAATTATATGAATTATTTTTTATCACATCTAAAAATTTTGTCAAAAACTGACAATGTCCTCCTGTTGATCAGGGAGGCAGATCAGAAAATGCACCTATGAGACCCTGATTCCTCTGGTTGAAACACAGAGTTCCTAAAAATGTTCCTGTCTGTGGATAATGGCACATTATGTTCACACAGATTTGACATATTTTAATCATTGAAACAAACAATCCAAAAACGTCCAGCTGATCTCTTTCCCACTTTTCTCCTTTCTTCAATCTTTCTATCTTTATCTTTAGCTTTATCTATCTTTATTTATATTTAAAAAGTACTTGATTTTTTGTGATTTTTTTATGTACCAATGCACCAAGGCAAATTCCTTGTATGTGTAAAAATGTACTTAGCAATAAACCCCATTCTAATTCTGATTCTGATTCATGTGTCATCACTTACTGCATTTGTAGAGACGGTTCAGCTCCAACACATCACTGGGACTTACTTCCAGTCTTTGACCAATAACATCCTCAAATTTTGGATCTTTGGTGATTATTGTTGACCCATTGCCATTGCTGAATGCATTTTTGCTGTAATGCATCACTGACCAGTAGTCGTATTGAACTCCGTTGGTGGTGCTTTCTTCCTTGCTAACTTTTCGAAAATTATGCTCGCGACCTAGATTACACATATAAAAGCCACCATCAATTACAGCATACTGTCTTAAAAAACATTCAGAGCAGCATAGCTTGTTTAAGAAGAATTGAATAGACAAAGAACTACAACTCAACATATCAATTAGAATGTTTTAAAAATAGAAGAAATTAATCATGTACACATTGATCAGGCAAATTATAAACGTTGACAAGTGAAAATGTAAATTTGGAACCAACACAAACACTAATAATGATTATTAATAATAATAATAATAATAATAATAATAATAATATATTAATTAATCTTTTTGAAATAATGTATTTTATTCATTAATGTATTATATTCATTAAAGCATCTAGGCGTTAATATATTAGTGTTTACATAATTTGATCAATTGATCGATTAATTTGCAAATAATCTTGCTTTTAATTACTAAATTGATGGAATGTCAAGGTACTTATTGTTGGATTCATTTATTCATTTTAAACTCTCTCCAGGTCCTTCATACACCTCAACATGAACAGAAATATTATAATTAAAGTTTTAATAAAACCTTCTTTGATGTTCTCGAATGCAATGGTCAAATAATCATCTCTGTCATATCTGGACTGTTCATGGTAGAAGCCAAGAGCATGGAGGAACTCATGTTCAACAGTGGCAATGTGATCACAGTTGGTCCCGATGGAGAGGTTCTGTCCGTTGTTCATTACTTGCCCAATATATGAAAAACATCTAGAATGGAAAAACCACTCATCAGCAACAAACACATTTATACCTTTATGTCACTGACCTGATCAAAAGCCTTCTTTATCAAAACCTGCACAGAGAGCAAGTTCAAAATCTGTGCATAAGAACTGTGTATATGAACAAGAGCATTCATATTTGTCAAAGATGCACAAGCATAACTTCATGCAGCATACAATGCAAAATCTCTCCAGTTCTACATCCATCTGATTGTGCACATACAGAATGCCAAATACCGTCAACTACATATTTCTGAAAGTCTTAGGTGACCTAATTAATTGTTACTTCTTGTGGGCAAAAATAGCAAACTAGGAAGATAAATACAAAAAAATGAAAATAAAAAAATAGAAAACACAATACATACCCGTTTAACTTTGTGACAGAAATGTAATATTCCTCAGAGTCCCTTGGTTTGAAGTCAATGCATGACTTCAGCCTGAACTGGTCGTGGGCTTTCAGGATGACTCCTTTAGCATTCATCTCTTCCATTGTTCATGAGAATTGTGTTATAGAGAACAAAGAAATTATAACACCTACAAATATTGTGGGTTATTATGAAGAAAATAAACATATTTACCAAGGTCTTTTCCCAGAACATATGGGACTGGAGATGTCCATAGTATGTCCCTATCATTAATGGCACTCCTTTGTGTTGGCTTCAAAATAAATGTATTGGGTAACATAAAAAAATAATATATTTACATTTATAATTTAAATAATTTTGTACAAAAATGCTCAACTCACCATCAGAATATCATCGTGTAATAAACCTGACATGAAGAATAAAAAGTTAGAGAAGTGAGAAATCAATGACAATACTTAGTTAATAGTTAGTAATAGTTAATGGCACATATGAACTACAATGAAGGTGCTCTTTCGAATATGAAGTTGACAAAACAATCTCACCACAAGGTCCTTTTAATGATATTAAGATGTTTAACTTTACCCTTGTTTACATCTGTTATGTCCTTGTCTTCACCAATGTCTACAAAAACAGACAAAATGCTGCCTCATTAAGTAACACTGATCAATGAAAAAAACAATTAAGTTATATACATTTTATGAAATAAAATTAAATAATGCAACTTACTGACTAAATCTGATCCATTCTGCAAAACAAAAATCTGATTTAATCACATATACAAATATATATAACATATGCAATGATGTAATTCTCAGATATGGAAGATAAAAAATAAGAAACAACATTATTGTATTCTATTTGTTGGTTATTCAAATTTAAATTCAGATATTGAAAGTAAGATAGTTGCTATCTGTCCATAAGATTCCACAGTATTTAAAATGTGCCATAATAGTGTTAGGTCAGAATTCAGAATAAATACTTAATTAATTAAACTACCAGTAGTCATCATCACAATGAGACATAAAGTACAACAATAAATTAACTCTTACTGTTTTTACTGAGAGTGCTGATGAAACTGCCAAGTGCACAACAAGGAAGATGAGGCCTTTCATCCTTGATTTAGGTCTTGGACCACACTTAAATCATACAACAGAGGTTAAATGAAGAAACATGATAGATATGCTATTTCTGAAATGCAATTATGCTACATTGAGATAGATAGAAAATTCCCACCTGTGTTAACCTTCTGCCACCCGGATTGTCTGCTCACCAATTGCACATGAGAAGCTTTGGCTTTGACCTGAGACTTTTAAAGGGTGTGTGAAGTCTAGCAAAACAGGTTTAAAACATTTCCGAGTCATGCATTGACTGTAAACCATTTCCTTATATATTTACAGTAAGTTACTGGCAGCACGGTTGCCAGCAAGTTGCTGTATTTTTCTTTACAATAAACTACTGTAATTGTACTGTAATGAAATTTACAGTATATAGAACAATACTGTATTACTACAAAACATTGTAGCGACATCTAAGAGTGTTGTTTAACTATGCACCGTTTACTTTCAGATATTTGATAAATTCCTTTTGGTCGCAGTGCTGATAGAATTCTTTGTTACTGTCACGTCCTTTGTCAGAAGCTTCACATGTCAGGTTATTATCAGATTTATCTAAAGGCACACAAAGCATTGTGGGAAATCCCTTCACTGCCAGCAAGGAGTCCACACTCCACTCCAATTTGTTTTAAGGTATTATTTATCCAGGTGAAATGAATTAAGACTACAGCAATGATACTGAACAATATATATAACTATAAGTTTTCACTTGCAGGAGGGCAGTAGCTTCTTGATTGCTGTTGCTTCACAGTAAACTCTGACTCTCTTGTATCCATCCAAAAAAGGCATCTACTCTTGACACCTCATAAAAAATTTAAGGATCTGTTAAAATGCAAATGTTGTTGATTTCTAAAGTTTTCATGCTGGACACAAAATGTCTGCTGGTAATACATTTTCCACAATGCTTTGTGTGCCTTATACATAAATCTGATAATAACCTGACATGTGAAGGAACTGACAAAGCATTTTATCTTCAAAGCACTGCGACTAAATCAGCAACTGATTCAAACGATAAAGCAACCCAGGCAAACAAGTTTCAGAGGTCTTGTTGTTTTAATGTTTACGAGGTATATGTTTAAGAGGTGCAGCTTTCTCAGGCAAGGATTTCCTTTTTACACACCTTTCACAAGTTTTTATCCTTTTGTAAACTTCAGCAGACATTCTCGTCCAATAGAATCTGGTGCGAACCAGGCCAAGTGTTCGAATCGAGTCACACACTGCCATTCTCCTTTTCCTTACCACTACAATAGGTTATGCAGAGGGAGACTCAGATTCACGGATTATTCCAGATGTTCTTGAAGGTGTTTATGGACAGTCTCACTATCTTGAGAATGGATTGGTTTTGGTCTATGCTTGAAAGGGGTATCGTCTGAAAGTTAGTAACTTCCAATTACTAACACACAGTCTGTAAAGTATGATATAATCCAATGTAACCTATGCAACATTTCTACGTTTGTGACAGTTCTAATGGGCAAGCTTTATTGAGACTGTCAGATGCAGAATTAACTGATTTCTTTCCACCCAGCACACAAAATAACTATGTTTGTGGCAAGTATCAGTCTGTGGGTGTAATATCTTTCTTGCCATCTGCTTTACTCATTTCTGGTCTTGCATGACAGTCACCTTACCTACACAGCTACATACCTGTTTGCAATAATTACATTGGCTTTAACTGTACTATTCTTGTAGTGGCTGACTTATGTTTTTGGTAGTTGTGTAACGTCCATTATGATCATTTTATGTTGTTGATTAATAACAGTTGTAGTCCCACACAAATACAAAAAACAAATGTTCCTTTGAAAATGTTTTATTTGATAGCTTAAAGATCCCCTCCATATATTACAGCATTTACAAACTGCTTGGAACAATAAGGTGTGTCTGACATGTTCTTTATACAAAAAGTATAAAAGTTTTAAACTGATGGACTAAGAAATTACAATTACCATACATTTATCCTCATAATACAATCCAAATCAAAGTATTGTGTGATGACAAGAAACAAAACCATGCTATTGCAGGGATTTTCTTTAATTATTAAATATGGTATTCTTGTGAATCAAAACCACTGTATAGTAAGAAATGAACCTTTAACATTCTATTGTAATCAATTATACTATATCAATACAATACTATAAGAAATCAGACAAAAAAGTAAAATTTCAAAATCAAACCATAAAGGATAATCCAAATACTAACAAATCACAATACCAAAAACCATGATCACATTATTACAGGCATTTCATTGATTATTATGCTGTTAAAAGTTTTGACACAAAAACTACCCCTGATATACAGTATCTGCCAATAGTTATTTACCTGCTGTGCCGTTCTTTTTATTATACCAGAAAAACAGCAAAAGACAATTGTTCCACAGGAAAAACAGCTGAATAAATCAGCCAGAGGAAAACTAGCTGGCCGGATCCTTGTGCAGAGTTGAGATGTGGATGGGAGGAGACACACATCAAGGTATCAAAAGCATTAGTGCTAGCATGAGGGTGAGGACAGGCGAAGACACCAGACCAGGACAGAAGCCAAAAATGCTGCAGGAACAAAACAATAGATAAAATAACATGATTCAATGAGGATTTTTTACACATGTTTCTTCAAAGTGCTTGGAAAAAGTTATAAACCTATGGCTTACAGGGGAAATTTTGTTTGTAAAGACACTGACCTGCTTATGTTTTCATAAATGGAGTGAAGCCTGCAAGCTAGTTCAGGCAGTCAATTGAGCTGCACTGCTATACACACATGACATGCCTCACACTCCATAATCACTAACCAAGCACACCCTTCCAATCTGGCAGTCTATTTAAACTGTACAATTTCCCAGCTCTCCCTCTGCTCTGACAATGCCGCTGCTGCCCTGCATCAGTATTGCTGCCTGCTGTGCTGTAAACCCCACCACCACCCCAGCATCCACCTGTAGGCTCCGGCGAGGGGTTTAAAGGGACATTGTGTAGGAATTTCTCCCATCTAGCGGTGAAATGGTATTTTGCATTCAAACGAATAGTGCTCTCTAGTGCCTCACGTTTTCAAATGCGTATTGCAACTACAGTAGCTGTTATGTACCAAGAAGCCTACCTATCGAGGAGAAAGCAGGCAACTTCAGCGTCCCTTTGAAAGTCTTTCTCCTTCATTAGCTCTTTCCACCTGGGAGAAGCTACCCCGATGTTTACCCTCGTTTTTTGAATTCGCAGGTCACGTTGCCTTTTTTTAATTCCCTTTTCCGCTTTTTTGGCGACGAGGATTCCTTCTCCTGTGGCTAGTAAGTATGATCCTCCATTATTAACTAAAGTGCAGTGCAGACTTTCAAATGTGCCGGGGCAGTGACAAGCGCCTCTCACTGATCTCCTTCTCCGTTATAGCTGGTTTCAGTCACGTGACGCTGGCTCTGAACGAAAATGCGTTGTGGATTAGCTAGGCAGGTAGGCTAGTGCTTTATGTCCCTCTTGGCGATTATAGTTTTTCAAAATGGCGGAACGACATGGAAGCCTCCATGGACTTGCCCGTCCAATGTATATACAGATAGGAAATTCTTTGCTTACGAGGATAAGTCAGATCATTGGCAGAGGTAATTTTACACCAATGAGGACACATTTATGAATGAAGACATTGATTTTAGCTAATAAAATACTTAAAACTCTAAACAATGTCCCTTTAAGGTATTTGCTCATCACTCCCCAATATAATGAGGTTGGAGCCTAGACAGCAAAATCTAACTCTGCTATACTGCTGGAATAAACATTTCAAACCTGAGTTGTCTGACTGAACTAACAAATAAGTGCAAATGAAAATCTGTGAGTAAGTACCTGTCATCTGTTGTCTTAGGAGGTGGACGGGTGGTGGTTAAGATCCTGTAAAATACAAAGCATCATGAGTAAGACATATTCAAATCTTATTTCAATGTAAAAATCTTTCTCATATTTTAAAATGAGAAGTACTGAAATGTACTTAATTTGATAACAAAATGTCCTACTGTGATGAGCATGGGCCTTTATCCACATCCTTAGGAGATGTCACCTTCCCTGGTCCCACTTTAGGACATGGTAGAGCACTTCCATTAACTAGAGGAGTAAGATCTAGAAAAAAAAAGAAAGTGTTATACAGAAAAACTTTCACTAATATGTAAAGAGATTTAAACATTTCAAATGTGTTTGTTGTAGAAATCCAAGCAGTTACAATCCATTTTAGCAGAAACATTTTTTTTTATCAGCCTGCCTTCAAATCTGAAGACAAAAACGGCACTCCCTCCCTTGAGGAAGTCTCTGACTTTCAGTTCTTCCGCAGTTGCAAAAAATGTTCTGCCAATCAGAGGTCCAGCATAGATGGTCTCATTATTCTCATCTACATATGGAGTTCCAATCTCACGAGGGTTGTCCCAAAGAAAGGTATCATCTTAGAAAGAATATACAAGAGAACATACTGTTACATATTTTGGGCTAAAGTCATGACTTTTTTTTTTACAGTATTTTTTCATGTACTTTGAAACTTACCACTTTCGGATACGCTCAGGTCACTAGTGATACTCCTTTGCTTGGACATTTGCAGCTGGATGTTGGGGTTCTGATCCAGCATTTGGAAGGTCACCTGCCTTTGTGGGAGAGGCCACTCCAGCTTGTCATCATATTTACCAGACAAGAGTTGCACAAACAGTCCGAAATGTGTATTGAACAGCACAGTCCCAACAGCGTAAGCATAGCCTCCACTGGAGTACTGCCGTTGGCTGTATAAAGTGGTTCCATATTCACTTGTGTTCAAAACATTCTCGAAATCATTAATCTGCATGGTCACATGAGGACATTCAGTCTCAGACAGATTGATGTCATCGATTGAGAAGCCGCCTGAAGAGTTTCCTGCTCCCTTACGAATCTCAAACTCCACCTGGAAGTGCTTGGTGGCATTCAGGGAAACATGTTTGACCTGCCAGTGAGATGTTGGTGGACCTGCAGGAAGAGTTTTGTGATGACTAAATTGCATTATATGTATATCAATGGGCGATTTGTGTGCAAAGTGTAGCCTTCAAACAAAAACAGTTTTTTCAGAGTCTCAAGTAGCATTTAGAGCAGATGATAACATATAATCATACAGCTTTACATTACCAGTAATCTGTTCCATGAGGCGCAGGGTTCCTCTGGAGTCCCATTCATCTTCAAACTCTCTGATCCAGATGTTAAGTTCGTCTGACCCGTTCCCACTGTGGTAAAAGTAGAACTGGAGACACTGGATATGACATTCCCTTTTGGCAGTCATTCTGTGGGTCTCCAGCC